AGATATCACAGGACGTGCTACTGTGCTGAATCTTCTTTGAGCAGCCAGGGTTCCTGCATCGTGCAGCATTCTTGATGTCGTCTTTCTTTGGCATGTGATGTTCCTACACCGCCCGGACTTGCAAGCTTGGCAGCAGCTTGACTCTTTTGCGCAGAACTTCCACCGTGTCTTCGTCGGTGAAGTTTAAACTCTAGATCCTCTTCAAGGGGGGTACTGAGAAGTGACTCAGCCACATTGATTTTGAATTCGATGTACTGCATGGCAGGTTGCTTCACATTCTTCTTGTTTCCACGGTACTCCATCTATGCAATCATGCAGGCCAGGTCAACGAGGTGAATCATTGTCCTGAGGCTCCATATTGAGGTATGGCGGTGTTGGCTGTAAAATGACATCAGCCTGTCGCAGAGGTTAACGCCTCCCATTTTGTCGTTGTACTTTTGAACCACCATTGGACGAGGATGGTACTTTCCTTATTTTAAGAAACACCTAACAAAGCAAGAGAAAAAGAATCGTAACAAGCAACCCCTTCAGATCATCGGGGACGTTAACATCTCTGACAGAGCCGGAAACATGCTCGATCAGGGGCCGAAATTGGCCTTACAACCACGGCTGGAGCCCATCGACAAGGTGTTGCACTCATAAGAAGTATCGCATCCAAAGCTCATGCTAATAATGTTCCGCAGATTCTCAGTGAAGGACTTGAATGCATTGCAAGCCAGAAAAACTCACACAATGCAAGTATGAGCTTCGGTCCCATAGTTCAGGAGCTCATTTACAAAAACCTAAATTTGTGGGTTTCTGACAAAAAAGGTGGATTTGTTGTCCTGGATCCAGCTGTGTGCAGCAAGCGAGCCACTGCAGCTTCGGTAAAAATCTTTCTTCCGGTTGATGATAGACAAACCAAAAAAGCCAAGCAGGTGGCCCTGAGGCTGCTGGATCATAATAACTTAACCAGCTTAAGCACCAAACTCAGGAAAACAAAAGAGAGCCATTCAGAAGTGTTTTTCTTGGTAAAGACTCATAAACAGGACATACCGTTTCTGGTCATAGTGTCCAAACGTGGAACCTGGCAAACCCATCTTTCGTCTTACCTAGAAAATAACCTGTCCTGCTACAAATTGATGGTCCTTACAGAATAAGATATTCAGAACAACTTATTGCTTATTTTCAGGCTAATGGAGCTAATGTTGTGTGCAGTTTTTCCATAGACGTTCACAATATGTATTATTCAATCCCCTCATGGAAATTCTCCAATCTATCACCGAGACAAAAGGCATCACTGCATTTCAGAACGCAGTTGGGATAAATGTGGACACGTTTTTGGAACTATTAGATGTCTATTTGTCGGCAACAGTACCACAATATCAGGGTCAACACTATGTGCAAAGAAGTGGGGTTTGTATTGGTTCTCGGGTGTCGCCGAAATTATGTGATCTATTCCTGGTGGCCTGCGGCAAGTTGATTGAGAACAATTTGAAGGCTCCAAGGGTAATAGCCATCTTCCGCTATGTGGATGATTTCCTAGCACTTTGTGGCACGGAGATAGATGACCACGCAAGTGGATGCAGACGTGCAGCTGTGCAGTGTTTCCAAGAAAATTGCCCTGACCTCATTTCCACACATGAATCCCCTGTCGATAGAAAGATAAAATTCCTAGACGTTGGGCTTACATTCACTCCAGGACACATGTGCTGGAGGTACGATCCTTGGTCAGCTAAAGGGTCTCTTCCCTTCACGTCCGAGCATTCAAGAACTGTCAAGAGAAGTGTTGCCCTCACGGCTCTAGTGTCTGCGTTATAGAAATCCTGTCGAAACAAGTTATCGCAAAGCTTTGGCCGACAAGTATCATGACTACGAGAAGCCACTTATCCAGCAAACACTATTGGCCAAAAGGGAAATGGTGTGTCCATGGCCACACCAGTACCAAACATTTTCTGAACATTTGGTCAAGGGAAAGAGATATGTCCGTGGCCAAAAAATTGTCGAACATCATCTGAACACTGTTGGACAAGGGGAAAACAGTACGTCCATGGCCAAACAAGCACTGAACAGCTTCTGAATTTTGGGGGCCAAGTGGAAAATGGTAACTCAGTGGCCAGACAAGGGCCAAATAGCTTCTGAACACTGGTGGCTAATGAAAAAAAAGAGAGATCTGTGACCAGATGCTTTCCAGTCATCTTAGGATCACCAGCAGCAAGCATTTTGTCAATGGTCAGACTGGCCAAGCAGGTGCCAAGCAAATACTAGTCATTGGCCACCAAAATTTTGTGCTGCATGGGTACTTATCATCGACATAATCTCCTGTGCTGAGACACCATGGACATGCGTAGTACCCGTTGAAGAGTACGAGGTTTTTGACAGAAGGGCGTGTGGGGGCATTTATGCAGCAGCACAAGACGTAATCTCTCTGAGTTTTGGGTGGCTTGGTTCTGCCAGGGTATTAGTTGCATGCTGTTCAGTCTCTCCACGAACTTCCCAAGAAACAAGGTCACGTTGGTATGGGGCCCTTGCTAGGCCAAAGTCCAGTAGGCACAGAAATATGGAACCGTTCGGGCACTGGTAGTTCGTAGACTGTGAATTTGGTTGGCTATACCAAAGCACCGGAAGGCGTGAACATTAGACTCTCATCTGTGTTCACAGTCAACATGAGATCACTGCTTTGCAGAGTTCCTGAGGACTGGAGCTTGGCACAGGCCTACGCTTGTGTGATCGCCTTGACGACAGTTTTGCTTGTTCCCCAATGTCCAGCTGTCTGACTCGGCTTTTCACGAAGGGCAGGCATGTGCCGCTGAATCATGTGGTTCAGTTGCCTGTGGTCGTCGAGCACGACAGAAATAATGCTCTCCTTATAGGCCTCCTTCAAACTTCTTATTCTTCTGCTGGTAAGAGAAAAAGCCATTGTCTTTTATGTCCTTCAGCAGGACATTGTATTTATGGCAGGAACAATGCCGTGCGTGTAAGCATGCTCCCGTCCAATACTTCCTAAGATGTGTTTGTGCAACAGACATTGCTGCCAAAAATCCCACATATATTTTCCTATAAACAACTGTGAACGTGAAACGTTCGCGGTTATAACGAAATAGTGGCCACAACGAAGCGATCACGATTTCTCATTCCCTTTCTCACTTCGTTACCCGAAGTCAGTTATAACGAAATTGCGGATATAGCGAAGTGATTTCTGATTGCCGTTGACTTCGTTATAACCGGTCTCGACAGTACTCGCAAATGCTGGCAGCCATGTTTGTTAGAGTTTGAAGTCAGTTAAACCAGCACTCTCATGATATTTTTGCATAGTACACTGTATGCTGATTGTTACATTATAAATGAACTAATATATGTTGGTGTGTAAAGTAATTGTGAAGTACCTAATTGAATTTCTGTTATGTTTTTGGAGGTACATATGCCGATCCCCCTGGTCTGTCTCCTACGCAACCGACGCTCTATGCTGTGCCGTGCTGAGCTACATGTCAAGGATGAGGGTGGCCGGCAAGGGCGCAATTCACTGAGTTGCCCAACGGGGTTTCATGACGTGAGTCAGGCTGGTGATTCCAACTCCGGTACTTGGTCGGATCAGAGACACATGTAGTCGAGGTAACGTTCGGGCAAATTCTCGGAGCAAGCTACTTGAGCCGCCCCATTTATTCACACACCCAACAATATTCCTCAGGGCACACCCAATCACAACTCTTACCTTGGCTGTCACGATTCCGATAGGCGGTGAAATCTGCGCGTGCTAAGGAGAAATCCCTCGTGCCTAGAGTTCTTGTATAGGCTCCCTACAGGAGACAGAGTTGCGCATTCATCTCCGTAGCGCCGTCTTTCCTGCACGGCATGTTGATCCCACTCGTCACGTGACTGAATTTGGCGAATAGCAGCGCTGCGCGTTCGATTCGCGCAGCGCACTCAAAAGCAGGGGAACGTACGCCGGGGCGTGTGTAAGGTCTACTTTTCTGCACGGCACTTCATCTGGCTCCTCATGTGATCGGATCTCGGCGAATAGCGGCACGGCGGCACGTGGAAAACAGGCGCACAACTCTGGCTCCCCTAGGGAGCCCATACAGGAACTCTACTCGTGCCGAGAGTGCAGTGCTATCTAGTGCTGCATTGAAGTAAAAGGCAACGCCTACCCTTAACTCCCGTAGATGGCACTAGCTTGCAACACTACAATTCCTTTCTGATAGTAATGCATAATTTTAATTAATTTTTTATGGTAGCACTTTTTGTTCTAATTGCAATTTAGCTACTTGGAAGGAAAGTGGTTGTAATTGTAGTTAAATTACATTTTCAAAGTAATTTATGGCTGTGATATTGTTCTTCGTTTTAGCTACCACTCAAAGCTTCCACAACCCTCCTTTTCCAAAGTCGTATCATCGTTGAATGAGGAACTGGAGAGACAGTCATGCCGCACTGTGCCGAGAGAGAGAAGTCCTCTATCGGAGCACGTACGAGTCTGTGATGCAAACCAATTGTCCAAAGACTTTGGTGCCCTTGCTTGGTGGCACGGAGTCTATCAGATTTGGGCACATTGTCCCCACTAGTGCCTAAGTTCAGCAGTTGGGTGATAGTTCCCTGGCCCACACAGACGTCAAATGCATAAGTAAATCCACTAACACCAGTTTGTGCAAATCAAATCAAATCAAATCAAATGGTTTGTTTTTCCATTCAACAAAAAATGGGGGAAGGCCGAAGAAAAAAGCTGATAAATCAGCTTGACATGGTCCTCGGCCACCCTACAGAAATAGTGGCGCTGGCAATGGAAAACTATACGCTGAAGAGTTAGGAAGTAAAATAGTCAGTGAAAATACAAAAGGGCATGTCAGGAGCAATGGGTAGAAGTATTAAACAACATTGAGAAACTGACTAGAAACACCTTGATCCCCCACTTGGGGGGCTTAATTCTTACGTACTGCTTTAACGCACACCGTCCTTCGAACGGAATGATAATTTCATCCAACGCATTGAGCTTTTCAAGCTAAGTAGTTGTGTCTTCCGATCCCCAGATAACAAGTGGTTGAACCTTGGAAAAATCTATTGTGGCCAGGATCTCCAGGTGCATTCATCGTAGTGTTGTCATTGACATAAAACTGTGTCCTCGGTTTGCTGAATCAGTTACTTGGCATCATGTCAGTGGCAGGTGCATGATACTTTGCATGGCTCCAGTACATTTTGTGGAATGGAATCATGAAAACACCGTAAATGGCATAAATGCCACTTAACTTTTTCATCTACTTTGCTGTTGTCTTGACAGAGTTTCCACTTTTCTGTACCAAATAGTTTGGTTTGTCAAGCAAAGTTCCTGAAGATGGAGTCATCTTGGAAAATTTTGAAGTAGGTATATGGTGATGTCAGTTTTGTCTGGTAGAGGTCCAAACTGTTCTGTGAACTTTGCATTCAGAGGAACAATGTGGTTTTTCTTCCACATCGGTGTTTTCTTTTTTAGAAGCTTTTTGCCCTTGCTGCATACCTGGAAAAGTACCCGTGGTGGTTCTCCTCTATTCATCAATGCCCTCAGTTCCTCAAAAGTGAAGAACACCCAAAATGTTAAAAAGGCAACTGCTGTAAGTCGGGGTGAAAAGAAAAATTGTACACTAACACACCAACCGTAAAAATCGACTCTAAAGATGGATGCTTTCCAGAATACAGCAGGATGAGAACCAGGCGAGGTCAAATTTCGGCAATCCGAGTTCAGGCCCGGAATCCACCATTCCCTTACACAACACGAACTCAGCCTCAACTGTAGTTAAAGGTCTCCCAGTATTCGATCAAGAAAGTGACGGGCAAGTGGCATGGCACCTCCCGACTGCAGGAGGCTCCTTTGGTGGAGCAGGCACTTGCCATTAACTTTTGATTGGCTTGCATTGACTTTGGTTATTGTGTGACTGTTTTCTTTGCAAGTTTTAGATCAAAAGTGGAGCTTCCCAGATGACATTTTTATTTGCACCGTGGAGGTACTTGAATACTGAACACTTTTTGAAGGCAGGAACAACCATGCCATGTGGAAGGCTGTACTACGCTGCGGGCACCAATTCAGCAATGTTCAAAGCATACGGTCACTTGATACTTCCCAAAGGTGTCAGCCCTCATCACTGACAAACTCGGGAAATTTATTTTCCTAATTCGAATGAAAACAAGGTCCTCAAAACACGTTTTGGTCTGGTCAGGGTTTTTCCAAAAACATGTGGACATTGGGGGGAGGGGAGGGGAGGGAAGGGAAGGGAAGGGAAGGGAAGGGAAGGGAAGGGAAGGGAGGGGAGGGGAGGGGAGGGGAGGGGAGGGGAGGGGAGGGGAGGGGAGGGAGGGAGGGAGGGAGGGAGGGAGGGAGGGAGGGAGGGAGGGAGGGAGAGAGAGAGAGAGAGAGAGAGAGAGAGAGAGAGAGAGAGGAGAGGAGGGGGAGGGAGGAATGGGCTCTTAAGCACTGAAATACTACACGCTGCTCTTTTGCGCTTTTTTGAGCGCACTGTGCCTGCACATTAATGATGCCAAATGCAGGCATCAGTCTGACAAGCATAGTTCTGCCAGATTCACTGGATCTGGACGTTCCAAAGCATTATATGTTTCAAAGACCACCTTTTTGTTTATCCTTGATAAAATATAGGGGTGGCTGGTACATCACAAAGCTTGGCGATCAGTTGGGCTAGTGGGCGGCAGAGCGACCGCCGCCCTTCGGGGGGGGGGGGGGGGGGGGGGGGGGGGTGGATGGGGAGGGGGGGAAGCCCTGGGTCTGGTTCACGTCAAAAAAAGCACGTCCCGCTGGCGCCCCTGTGGTATAGACCTTTTCTATGTAGTCGTCGCCATCTTGTGTGTTGCAGCGACAGCCACGCCGTCTGCCATACAATTGTTGTGCATCCATTTTGGTATGTGGAAAGCAGCTTTAGTCCTAGCTCTCGCTCTATCCCCATTGATTCCGTGCATTGTATTGTATCTTCATTGTTTTCCCTTTAGTTCTTAATTTGTTTGTTATTGAAAGTGTGGATTATTCTTGTATTGTGCCATGTTTATTTGCCTTCATGGTGCCCATTGTTGCGCCAAGAGCGCCGAGAGGTTCGTAGCCAGCGTCGCCGGTAATCGAAATCGGAGGTATGTTCACTTTTCCTGGGCACGTTTGCTCTTCGCGTGTTCTTTTTTGTCAAGAGTGACAGCTTTTTGCGAATGAGTAACAGTGAGTTTCTATGGGCGAGTGAGGGCGATCCCTGGCATGGAAGTATCATCGTTTAATCATAGAAATGCTCACATGGGACTTGGCAATGCAGGCCGATTGGTTTATCATTCACGCATGGTGCACTGTCGAGATACAATCGTGAGTAACCAAGACATCTATACTTCGTATGATGCGCAGAGGTGTCTGGACTATTCAGGAGATGGGGGGAGGGGGGCGACGGTGGACGTGGTGGTGCCACTCAGCTACCGAAATCCTATGACCTTAGTCATGATGTTAGCTACTTCATGTAGCCATGACCTTACCAATATGCATTTATTTAGTTTTGCTCGAGCAATAGCTGGACCTTCACAAGGCCCGTTTCTTATGTTCCATTATATTGTTGTATTTGCTAGGCTTCCTCGTTCTACAAGTCAGTCATGAAAAATGTTGTGTGTGTCCTTGTTCAACGCCTTGCAATCATCTGTTTAGCACTGCAGGGATGATTGTGAAGTAAATGACCCTGCTCATTCCAGATAATATCAGGAAACCTCTTTGCCTTCATGGTTGGGAGTAATATTCTGTTATTTGAGTGTTCTAAATTGAAGGTTCAAGTTTATCCCCAGCTGAAAATGTGCATTGCATTGTTTAGCACACAGCAAAAGGAAGCAATGAAGAACGGGCGTTCCTGCCCTTTTCACAATATATTGAGCCTGCAAATGAGTGCAACCGAAAATTCGACTATTGCTTAACAATGAAACGGGCTAAAATTTAAAATCAACACCCAGCCCTAGTTATCTCCAAGAGCGTGACTAACAAAGCATTTTCAGAAAGGACATGAATAAACAATGAAGGCATTAGGGTTCATGTCATGCAATGGTCTTCCCTTTTGTGAAAGCTGGCATGTTCAGCTTCACTCCTTGCAGTTCCAGGTGGGTGTCCAAAGCGAACCCATGATTGGCCATAATTTCGTCGCCATGCTGGAGGTGGTCCTCGACCCTGCAGTGCCGCACAATATATTTATCAGAAGCCCTCCCACCATACACATTTCACACATACATGGTGAAACCATTGGGGGCAATAACTGTAAAAAATTTGACTGTGTTATTTGCTTTGTAGGAGCTGAATGTTTGAGCTCGAGCTATCAGCTTCCTAGGCCTCCGCAGAAGGATTTCCGTACAATCAAAGATGCAGGTCATCTTGCTGTACCCACCTTCAACAAAGGAGGCAGGCATACTGCTTTGAATGTGTGATTGTGGCAGCCAGACAACAATATAGTTCATTATCTTCTTTAGGATCACAAGCATATTCCTCACTATGTCACCAATTCTAGTGACAGAGGTCTCAAACGTCCTAGCCAGGTCCCCATAAAGGAGGCCTAAGCGCAATCTCATCAGTTTTATGAGAAGCTGATCTTCTGCGGGCAACCGAAAGTTTGCGGTGGTCATTTTACAAATGGCTTCTGCAAGACTCAGAAACACGGTCTTCAAAACACCTGTATAAAACATGCTGTCTGAAGCCAATATTTTCAACCCAATACAGGCTTTCGAGACTCCTTGATAGAGTAGCTGTGGTCTTCTAGTGTCAGAACTTCCCACTGAGTTCCTTGATCTTTTGTTGTCCCCTGAGAAAGGTAAAATCAAAGAAGTTAGTTGCTTTACAGAGATTATGCTGCTTAAAGGGATGGTGAACGGAAATTTGGATTTCAGAAAAAACAATGCAGGAGATGTAGGCGGGACGCTACAATCCCTACAACACTACTCGTAAGGCGATATCTCGAATGGACCGTCGTATTTATGGAAAAAGAGGTCGAGAGTGAACCAGGCCGTCAAGATACCTAGTTTCCTCCTCTCTTCGCTTCGCTCCCTCAAGGCGGCGACGCGGAGAAGACGCGAGGCCGTTCCCTCTCCTCCTCGGAGAAACATGACGTGAACATTTCTGTCCTTTTCTTGAAAAATACGGTCATCCGTTCGAGATATCGCTGTACGAGTGATGTTTTGGTGTTTGTAGCATCCCGTTGCACGCTTTTGCCACCGTGTTTTGTAGAATCCAGATTTCGGTTCAGCATCCCTTTAAAGAAGGCAATAACTTACTCTAGGGCAGTGTCATGCTTTCATAGTGCCTCGATCATTAAGTCCACTCTGCAAAACCTAAACCATGATCCACATCAATGAGACGTTGGGCAGCCTGAACTACTACATCTCTCTCATAACATTGCATTGCAGTGATGATATTTCATTTACATAAACTTGTGCAGCCCTACACTTTCATGAAGGATGGATGAGGATTTATCATATCTAAAGGCACCACAATAACTTTGATTGTAACTGTCAAGTTTTCTTGGCCCTGGCATGGCAGAGCCTCAGGCTGTGGGGCTGGCGGTGTCATAGGGCCAGCGGGGTGTGCTGGGGTTTTTTGATGCGCTAATGCGGAGGCATAACAACAGTAAGAACGAACTCGCAAGAGTGGCCCGCATTTCATCCGAAAGGCGGTTTGCTTACAGCATCCAGCAGCCATAGTAAACATACAATTAAAACAGCGCAAACTAACACAGGACAAGTAGAAGAAGGGGCACAGACACAGCGCAGCCTCACGACTTACTCTCTTTTTCGTCATCTTGGAACACATAAACATAAGAAGGCAAAGAAAGGAAAAAAAAAAAAAGAAGAATCTGACATGTAGGACGTCTTCACTGTCATGTGCCATCTGAAAAATTTCTAACAGAAAGTACCATTATAAAAAACAAATAAAAAAGTAAATTAAATTATAGAGAAATATATAACTATACATTGTTCCACTTCAGGTCTGAGCGAAGCCTGTTTACTATGCACCACCGACTAACCCACCTCCAAACATTACTCCAGCAGCCAGTCGGGTTTCCGCAACAAGCTTTGCACGGGCGGCTGGAACGGTACTGTCTTAGGTCAGGA